CAATATAGGCAATTGAATTTATTGCCGCCTTCATTAGCCTTCCCTCTTCCCTTCGCCATCATAATAGTGCTAGAGGAGCATGTCTCGAAATTGCGTGCCTCATCTAGGAGATCAGCAATTAAATAGTCGAGTGAGGGAGCTACGGCGGTGTTTCGAGCCTGGGATCTCTGTCTCTTGGACCAAACTGGAAACTTTCTAGCCACTCCAGCAATAAAGAACATTCCAGTCCATCTCTCTGGTATAGAATCAGAGAGTGAGGAGATCTTTTCGACCCTTTTGGTGAACTCAGAAACATAGTGGTTGAGGTCGATGAAGTCTTCAAATCTTATATTTGACCAATCAATTATGGCTCAATACTCTAGATTCCAACCTTTTCCCTCAAACTGTTCTTGCAGACTTGTCCACATTTGGAGAGCTGAAGTCTTGCCATCAATCATGCCGTGAATATTTGGGGCTGAGTTGATCATAATGGCTAGTTTCATCCTAGCATCTCCAGCAAGCCACTGCTTTCTCATTTCAAATGCCTCCTTAATCAAAAATCTTTCTTTGATGGACACATGTGGGGGTTCTTCCACTTTGTCACTTATGTAGTCCTCCAAGTTGTTGGCTAGAGCAGTGTTCTCCATATTGTTCTTCCATTGCTCGTAATTTTCCTCCCCCTTCAACTTGAAATAAGGAGGCAACTGGAGTGTACCAACATTTCCCATAGCATTTGAGGAGGCCTTGGGTTGACTCCACACAGGCTTATTGCTTGACGTAAGCATCTCCTCAATCTTTGGAGCCATCTTGGAACTTTCGAAATCTTGGACAGACATTGCACCTTTTCGTATAATTAATTTAGGTTGAGGTTAAGAAATCTTTTGACCTATTAGCTTTTGCTACCGGACTCAGAACCTGTTATTATTTATGCAACAGTGGAGTTAGGAGTATACTGCATACCAGCTATATATTCAGCTGCGTGTGGATACTTACTCTCGAAATCAGATTCCTTATAATATAAATATATGTATAATTTATTGTGTGTATTATAACTACAACTATTGGTGCTACTTTTCTTGTTCCTACAATTATCTACACACTTCACAATTACGGAAAGTGTGGAATTCTAAGCAAGACACGTGATACAATTACAGATTTATTGCATGACTTTCAATATTATTTTTATGTAGTGATGAGACATGCATCTCCACGGGTGGTCGGGCTTGACCCGCAGGAACACACGTTCGTCAGGGCGGGCCGGCTTGGAAGTGGGGGTATTTGGCTTAGGCGCTTTTGTAGGCCCAGTTGCTTTTAACTGAGACCCATTGACTGTTGTCGATGTTGATGCCACTGGTTGTACAGGCTTTGGCTTTTTCCTGACCACCTGAGTCCAGGATCTCTCAGTGGTGTTGGTATTATTGGGCTCGTCGCTTTCGACTTGCCTGGTGGGTTTTGTCGAAGCCGACTCTTTGCCTTTCGACTGGCTACTGGTTTCCCTAGCGAGGATTTGCACAGGTCGTGGGATGCTCGCGTTATTCTTTCCTCCTGGCTTTGTAGCTGGTGGTGGAAGGGTTGTCGTCTTGCTGCTACTGGCAGCCTCTGATAGCCCACTGGATAGGGGCTGGGGGTTTCCGCGCAGGATGTTTGTAATAATGGCCTGTAAAGCCTCTCCATTCTTTTCTACAGCGCGTCGGAGCTGTATGTCGGTTGTAGCAGCCAGTAGGTTAATGTACCCACTGACAATACGCTCAGCCTCTGCAAAGCGTAAATTAAAAGCCCTCGCTTCATCTGCGAGGAAGTTAGTCATAGTGACACCTAATGACTCGGTTTGGTTTGGGGGCAAGTATTGGAAGCTCGCCTCGCAGATAGGCTCCGCGTTTGTGTGTGTAATACTTGGATGGTTGGGTGGCCCTGTAAGGACCATTTCGACGTCAGGACGCGTCGAATTAACGGGTGGAAGGGGGGGCAAATAGCCAGCCTCTGCGGAGGACTGGGGCGGCATGAGCAAGTGAACGGTATTTATGACAGTAACAGGTCGTATATGATATGTAATTTCGTCATTTGGGACGTGGAAAGAGACATCTGGCGGACAGCTGATCAGACTCAGGGCAGGTGTGTTTGATGATTGGCCATCTGTCTAGTCACTAGTTGTAAAATTTGCATGACTAAGTTATTGCCCTTGATGCATCAGCCCAGTTTATTTGCTTGTAAACTACTCAACTTAGACATCATGATACAATATTTAAATTTAGGGTTATCTGTCTGACATTTGTTGAGTAAAATTATCATAGCTAAATAGCTGAATACAATTTGAATTAAAAAACATCCTCGGAGTGATAGAGCATGATGGTTACCTTAAATAGCCAGCGAAGGCTACAGTACTTATCGCCTCACAAGTCGTCACAGCTGTGAGCGGAAATTGAATAATTGATACAGTTCTATGGTTTAGGGATACGAGAAGAAGTGCAAGCATAGATCTCTGTGGTTCCATTTTGGGTATATCTATGAATCTTGTTAGAAGTTAGAATAATTTGGGCTATCAAGTAGGCCACGTTGTCGATACACACGTAACTAGAAATTCTGTTCTTAGTTTCATTTCGGTAGTTACTTGAATCTACGTCCCCTACAACCTCAATGACTGAGTGGTCATTATTTCCTTAATAAATCTAAACATGTGCTCACCTCACCAATAAAATAGTCGTAAGTACTGTTGTCTTGACCTCGGCGGCTTAATTTATATATCAAAACATTTACTTTTAATCATACTGCGACCTTAATCCAGCAAACTCTCCGAAGGAATTACCTGTTTGACGTGATTGAAAATCAAAGCAATATATGACAAAGGACACAGTGTTGGAGCAATTGCTCCGATAAGCCTGAGGCTCCAATGGTGCCTTAGGCAAATAAGTCGATACAGATTGATTGTGATGTGTTTATTGTTCTATAAATTCTATGACTATGTAAGAACGTGTAAGTCCTTTCTGACTTGATGCCGGGAGCATCTATGCCTCGGAGAGTATACTCCTTCCTTCACAACTTCTTTCCAGCAGTAATACCCCCACAAGTCCTCATTTGAGTACACACTAAAAGGGGCCGTTATAGCGTCATTATCTTCCCCCTCCAGCCAACGTTACGATGGTAATTTGCGTGTGTGTAGCTGTAGGGAAAAGTCTCTAAAACCGCTGGGTGCAGGGCTATCCTATGACGAACAGGCTGGCCAGCCGGGCGCAGCAGACTTTTTTATACCTAGGAAAGACTCTCAACCTTCCTAGCCTCCCCCTTACTCTTTCTCTGATTCATGCCGCAGAACAAACTGAAGGTCGTGAAAGGATGTCAGAGAAGTCTTGGTCGACAGTTACTGCCGTGAAGGAGCCTAGCCTAGCATCCAAAGGTCGTTGCGGACGTGGGGTTGTCGAGTAACTCATGCTTTTTAGAAGCTCTTCTGGCTATTAAATTCGGAATTAAATGCTAGAAGGGACGATATTTTTGACGAGTCGAAATCTGCTTTTCTTGAGGGCGGAAGGGTCTTTTACTTTGCTTTCGTGGGCTTTTTATTCGCCCGCCGGTGGGTAGCACATGTTGTGATATAACGAGGATTTCTCTGACTACCGTTGTAGCGTTTGTTATTACATTATCTTTTCTTATCTCCAGCATCATCATCATCGTCTTGGTAGTCTTATATGTCATCTGAAGCGTATCTTTGATGGAGGGGGAGATAACTCAGCTCAAAGTTGAAAAGGTGTTACTCAATCTCGGCTCTGCAGACTCTTTAGTGAGAGCTGGAGTTTCATAGGAGACACCGCTGACAGCTGTTGAGTTTAGTTCCTCCAGGAGCCAAAGTCTTTGTCCTAAATCATGAATAACAATTGTGATCCCCATAGTTGATTGATGGCAGGTGTAGAGATTGTCCGTGAAACGTGCCTACACATCTTTACGTGTTCGATACATTTTTCGATTGGTTGTATGCTGCATTTCTAGGCTAACACGGAGTAGTTGGTTTAAATTCTGATCTATTTAGTTGTTTCATACAAACAAAAACTTTCGAGTTAGTAATCTTCATCGAGTTTAAAAACGGAAGCTGTGCCACGGATATGTATATGATGTGAACAAATTAGATTGGCGACATGAGGTACGGGAATCTACCATATATTGATTATTTGTGAAGGATTTATGACTAGGTTTATCGGTAGGTACTGTAGAACAGGTAAAATAATTCGGAAAGTAAAGACAAAGAAGACATGTGTGTATTGCTCGATTTTGGATCAACATTAGCCTGATCATAGAATTCGTGAGGTGCTTATTCCACCAGATTTCTGGGCCTACGCTTTACGTATTGATTATCATGTCTGCATACGGACTGAAGAATAGTTATTCTTGTTGTCTTAAACAGTCTGGCACGAATGCACGTGCAAGAAGGGTGTAAAATTGATAGTACATATCTGTTGGCTAGATCACAACGCAACACCAGTGAGTGTTACAGAGCATTAATTCAATGCACGTTTACAACTTGTATAGTCAGCTACTTGTTAAGTTCCTGATCACTATCGTAACGTCTGACCAATGTTGTTCAGCGTAGTGTGCCTTCCGAATACCTTGTCCCGCCTAGCTTACCTTGTTCTGCCTTTGCCAGTGTCAATTTTGTCAGATAGCCGAAGCTGCTTGACTGTTAAACGACAACGCCCTCAAAGCTTTGCCCCTACAACAGTCCATTGTTCTGCGACATATGTCATAATCAAAGGTGAGTACTGTCAATTGAATATGCCCAACTTGACCAATACTATTGGATGTGACTGGTCCGGCACTTTCCACTCTTACTCGGCGCCTAGTACTTGGCAATTAACTAAACGAAGAAAGCTTCTAACATTCTACACATCTACAGCTAACACACTCATTTAATTTTCAAAATTTTCAAGAAGTGATATACCTCTGGCACAAAAGTCAAGGTCCGATATCGGGGATAAAGGCGTACGGATGTTTAAAAGGGAAAATACTCAGTCTTCAGTTAAATCCACTCACCTCAGATGACGGCTGTTGCAACTTCGCCGATATTTCAACAGGGCAACCGCTCAAAATGGAGTGTTAGTAGTGCGAAGGTCTCACACAACGCTATGAACGCAGACGAAGTAACACGAATGCTCATGCCACACAAGATCGCAGCAAAGTCAAATAGATCACACTCTACACCTTCAAGCTCTTCATCTCCTATCGCATCTCCAAATAATCAATCAGATCCTCAATTAAATGGCGTGCCAAATTCTGTTAGTATAGACTCTGGATCTCGATCTACAGTGGGCGCAAGGAAAAAGGCACAAAACGCTGTAAGATGGTCAACAGCCAAAAGCGAAAATATATCAAACATAAACCTCCCAAAGACTAAATATCAATCATTTCTAAATATTAATGACTCAACCATGCCACCTGCTGACATGAAAGCTAATCAGCAATCGTTAGCAACCATTCCTGCCCATCATATTCCAAAAGCTCCTCCACAACAGGCAGGTGCAAATCGATCGAATCAGCCTGGAAATGACAGCAACCCGGTGTTATATCTATATTCCATAAATGGAACTTTTGATAGAAAAACCATCTATGTGCCATTTCATCCGGAAACTCTTAGAATAGGGAGACAAACTAATGCAAAAACTGCACCGACACCAAATAATGGTTATTTTGATTCTAAAGTATTATCACGGCAACATGCAGAAATATGGGCTGACAGAGAGGGAAGAATCTGGATCAGGGACGTGAAGTCTTCAAATGGCACTTTCATCAATGGCACAAGGTTATCTGCAGAAAATCAAGACTCTGAGCCTCATGAGCTACAAAGTCAAGATATTCTGGAACTGGGAATTGACATTGTCGGCGAAGACCAGAAAACAGTTGTTCATCGTAAGGTCGCTGCTAAAGTTGAGTATGCTGGATATCCTGGATCAGCAAGCAATCTTCTCGAAATGAACTTTGGAGAATTTGACCCCTCACATGGGCTTGTCATGATTCCTTCACAGAGCTCTATGCAAATGAGGGGCAGAATGGATTCACAGGCTACAAACGGAATTTGTAATCGTTTAATCAGACCTATCTATGCCGATGAAGGTCAAACAAGCCTGGGCCAGCAACGTCATATGAATTTTTGGCTTACCCCAATAACAGTCGAACAAATAGTGAAAAAACTTATGGTAAGAGCCCAGTATATCTTTTTTACAGACAGTCACTGACAAAGAGGAGCATGAGATGAAATTAGCACAACTCCAAAATGGCGAGCTCGAGCGGACACATAATTTCTTAGGCTCTCTACTCTCAGAACAACATATAAAGGACACTTCGGATCCATCTATTGCACTAGCTAACAAATTAGTCCCACCATCCAACGGGGGATTCAGGTCAGAACTTAAACTACGATATTCGGAACCACCAGCACCTCCTCCAAGACAACCACTGCCAGAGAAGCCCGATTTTGCACGAAATAACGATTCGTCTCAGTCTCTTAAGCGCAAAGAAGTCGATAGAATGCGACCGATATATCATGCCCGTCCAGAACAAATCGGTCAGATTGGAAAATTGGCTGAAGCTCTATCATCTGCTAAAAAAGAGATTGATCTACAAGGCTTGAAACTCCGAGATTTAGAAGAAATGCTTCAGAGGGAGAGACAAGCTAGGCAACGAGCTGAAGAAGTTGCAATACAGATGGAACTTAGATCTGAGTCGAATAATCAAAACTTTTTGACTGAAGCGGAAATAGATACATCTATTGATGATGTATTTGAGCTCGGAAGCAAGCCTAAGATGTCTCGGGAGAAGGGTCCAAGTAAATCTTCATATTCAAACACGATGGAGCCTCACGAAGTAGACGAGTCCAAGTTAATTCTGGAAAAGCGCCTAGAGCTTATTCTTGGGGATATGCAGGACCTTAAGAATCGAATGGAGTTTTACAAAAGACGAGCAGAAACCGCTGAATCTGTGCGAGATGCGGACCGGAAGTCTCTAGCCGCAATGGTTGAGAAGATCAGATTAGATGAGATATTAAGAAATTCTGTCTCTACAGAGACATCATCGGCGGTGAAAGATTGTACCTCCCGCAATTGCGATAGTAAGCTAAAAGGCTTATCTGCCGACAGCATTAATGTCAGCAACCCAGTGTCTGACGTGCTCATTCAAAACGGTAGCACTACTGATAAATCAGCCTACAGGCCACTGAATACTGATATTATGCCTGCAGTGGAAACTATTGCAAAAAGCTATGACTGTCGCGATTCTTTATTATACCACACAGCACCTTATGCTTCTATGCTAGGCGTTGTGATTCTCGGAGTTGGAATCATGGCATATCTTAATGGATGGCAAGCACCAAAGATAGACCAATGATCGGTAATTCTGGCGTCATCAGGCTATATGGTTCGGGAAGTACTAAAGGTAGGCAGTTGGCGTTGTGCTGTTTGGGTTGGGTTTAACGGCAAAACTTTACGCATGGCAAATAGAAATGAAGGGTATTTTTAATGACATATTTCATCCAGTTGGCTCGGTTAAATTAACAAAATCTGTCAGCAATCGATATGTTTTTCAGCTATATATTCATATTAAATGCAGCATTTTATGACGAACACCCTCAATTTTTTGCGATGGTAGCTAGAGATCAACACCAAGCCGGCATTGGCTCAATATCGCCTGTTTATTGTCAATGCGACATGTACCAGTGTGATGGGATATTAATAAATAGGATAAGATATGAATCAGACCATGTCCACATATGGTAGAACAGCTTTTGGCTTCGTTCATTAGTCCACTTACCGGCTGCATTTGGATCGCATTGTGGTTGTAAAGCTCATCTGGGAAATTACAGCAAATGGCTACCCACAAAATTAGAGTACTCATCCATTCAATATCAGAAATTCACTATCTCAAAAAGTCTGGTTTCTTCCCAATACATACCGCCAATCCTGAGGACTAGAGGGAGTTACGCCTCTAAAATCTAAGCCACATGCTCACAGAGAGATGTGAAAGAGCAGAATATTTTTCCTAACTTCGAACTCCTCGTCCTTTTGTGTCGCTTAAAATCTTTGGAAAAAGAGACGATGAAATTTCTTACTCGCTGGATGGAAGGCTCATTATCTATCAACGGCACCCCCCACTTACGACTAGGTCTAAGTCCAGATTCTACAGTGCCAGATTTAGTTTCACATATCTCTTGACAGCAAACCGAGCTACTCAATTTCGTTTTCATTTTTATTAAGCCATTTTAATCGGAGCTTCTTCAACGACCACGAAATTGAAGAATACTAGTGCTTTGAAAAGAAAAGATTTTGTAATAAAAAACTACAATTGTAGTTACAACGGTCTTCACCCGAAAATACGTGCTACCTAATTCAGACAAAAGAAAGTTAGAAAAGTTACAGAGCCGTCTATATTTCCCGCATAAAATATTCTTATCATTACAATCATCTTTGCTAACCCTTTCTTATCGTGTTAATCGGTCGTTTGGCCGTCCAGCAAACAGAAACCATGAGTGTTTCGTGTACATGTTAGATGACTATTTTGATTAGAGAGTTACTCTATTAGCCTTCTGACCGCTCATCCTAGCTGGAAGAATTTCTTTTGCCAATTAGTATTCAGCGCTTCATTATATCCAAGGCGAAATAAATAATCTGAGCAAGGGCATTTTGCAGCGTACACTGTGTGTGAAGAACTTCATGCATTCAAAAAGACCTGTAATTAATCCCGAGACGCAAATAAAGAAGGGTGGTGAGCGCTTCCGTTAAATCAAAGTTGTCATGGAAGCAGTGGATGTAATATACTACGTGAGGCATAGGTATCCTTAGTTTGTAGGTAGAGAAGATTTATTCGGTTTGGTTTTTGAACTTAAGTCTGTGACCATGTAGCACAACAGGCAACACTCTAACCCAGGCCACACCTTGTAGAGTGCTTTTATCCTCTTTGGTAACATGAAAGATCAGTGTTATCTTGCCCGTAATGAATAGCCATTTAGCTCATCATTCACCCATGGAATTTAGCCACCTTTTTCACGGAATAGAAGAGAATAGAGTCAAATTCAAGTCCATACTGAGTCTCTGACAATGGACTTTTCCACGGAAGCCTCTACCCAAAAAAAAGGTAGCAATGGAAACTGTGTGCGCGGGAAAAAAACTCAAAAAAACCTGCAGCCCCAGCCAGTCGAGGCCTAAACACCAGGATCACACGAGGTGGGCACATCCATCTGTATCTCCATTCCTTGTCGCACAAGAGGCCAACTTGATCCAATCTACCATAGCCGTAACGAGTGCCCGGTAAGCTCCAGAAATTCATTGGATGGCTCTTCAACTATGACCAAGGATGGGTAATGAGTAGGACTTCGACCTTACCATTTGACCCGACTTAGTTTGCCTCTTAACAATGGTATTAGGGAGACATGCTAAGAGATGAAGGTGATACATACCACAAGGATATTAGAGGATACCCATGGAGATGAGGACGAAGGTGTTACTCAAACTCGGCTCTGCAGACTCTACAGTGAGAGCTGGAGGCTCATAGGGGACATCACTAACAGGTGCTGAGTTTTAGTCACTCTAGGCAGACAAGACCTAATTGTTTTTCAAAATAATTAACAAAAATGTGAAAAAATATCTCATTTTTGCCAGAAATCTGCGCAGCCTTCTACGCTGTCCGTATCATCAATTTAACATCGTAATTATCATTTTTAAATCTTCATTACCCTCCTTTCATCTTTTCGCTTTCCATGCTCCAACATGGCGAGTGTGGGTACTGGTGTGGGTAAATCCAGCGGTTTCGACGCGTCGCAAAATGCGACAACGGTATCATCAAACAACGGCAGTGGAGCGCGGATAGCTCTGAAGAGTCCTAAATTAGAAATTACAGGGAAACAACTGGAAAAGGCCAGACTTATAGTAATGGGGGAAATGGATGAGGAGGACTTATCAAATCTGAAAAACGTTAATGCAGTCGTCAAGAAATTCAATTCTCACAAGAAGGCTTGGATAACGATGTCTCAGGTTCTATCTCAGATCGAGGAGAGTACGATGGCGCTAGAGGAGGTCGTCTAGAAGGGCCTCGCGGACTCCGCACGACAAGCTGCTCCAGTTGTGGCGTTGGGGAAGCCGCCACCAAGGACCTACGCGTCGGTCGTGGCTCCGCAAATGGCGAAAACGGCGGTCAGAATAAGAATCGACGGAGCACAAAATCTGCAGCCGGAGGAGCTGCTATCAAGGGCCAGACAACGCATTGAAGGAGCGTTCGAAATTCGACAGATACGAAGCAATGACGCCCAAGTGTTTGTCCAGTCAGCGTCTCAGAGAGACTGGGCGCTTAATATGCGACAATCTAACGAATTTAAAATTCTACGGCAAGATTTTTCCGTTGATATTTCCGGAGTCCCACTATTGACAAGAATAGAAGGTGGTAGAGATGCCAACAACTACGCCATCATCATGGAGATTGAGACGGCGACGAAGGTGCGTATTCCAGGCCTTACAATTAACAGAATACGATGGCTATATGACGGAAAAGAAGTCAAACGCTCAAAGAAAACTGGCCGCAACCTCAGATCAATAGTGGTCAGCCTCCCATTGGAGGCAATGCAAACGGAGGTAGTTCGACAGTGCCTTGTTATCAACGCCATGCTCTCCACCGCGCAGGTGTGGTCACTACGAGCCCAGCCAAACTAGTATTAGAACTGCAGTCAGTAAGGACACACCCAGGCGTCGTGTGGAAAGGCAGCTAGGTGCGGTGAGTACGCAGGTGCTCACCAAATTCGGGACTGTCCGGAGAAAAGGGATTCTTGTGCAAATTGCGGCAAGGAACACCTTTCGTGGCAGAAAGCAGCGTGTTGGACTTATCAAGTCTATAAGGGAAGTGTGGAGAAGGCTTGGATGGAGCTGTCATCGAGAACAGTGGAAATATGGATCGAAAGACCAACCACAGCACCAATACGAACATTCGAAACGACTGATGATCAGGGATTCAATTTGGTCACCAGTAAGAAGGCTGAAGGACGAAAAAGAGGGCCGGGACGACCACGCAAGCTGGTCGAAGCCCCAGTGACACCAACCATCCTGACGACAGCAGCATCACTATCGGGGCGAACTCTTCCGACACTTCGATGACCAATGTGGAAACTTGAGGAACAGACGATAATTGGCGAGTAGTCAAAGGCTGGCGTGGACTCAAATCATAAGATTCTAAACTAGAGAGAAAAGTATCTAGTAAGGTATGAATCTGTACAAATGTACATAGGAGTTCAACTGTTCAAATAAAGTTGCCAATACGAAACCTCCTGTCCCTCATTGCCCACAACCCAAGGGTTTTGCATGAAAACCAATCTCCATGAAAAACCTTTCGTATCGTGATTTATCACACACAAGACTCGTGTGTGTGAAACTAGCCGTTGGAATCCCTGGATTGACCCCGTGTCGGCTTACCGACTATTGGACAGACGACCACGTGGCCACTAAAAATGTCGGGGCGTCACAGTCAACGCCGAGTGAGGAGGTGCCTTCTCTTTTTAATTTCTTTTAACGTTAGTCTGATTGATGGGGGAGTTAACGAATTCTGGGGAAAGTTTAAATACTTGTGGTTGGAAGGAACGGCCTCAGCATTAAGCCGGGTCGGTTGAGAGTGGCAGGATTAGATAAGATTATTATTATAGTCCTAACTGAGTCTATGATTATGGAGAACTCCTAGAATCTACATTAGATACTAGCTAAATTTTCATGTTCCAATTGGATAATTTCTAACTTTGCTCTCATAGACAGTGAGGGACAAGCCCTTTGATGAGTGGCAGGACATCGGGTTTGTTTGTTGAAAATTTTTTCCCTTACTGTTGGTATGAAAAAGGTCATACACTAAAAGTCTAATAGTTCAGCTCAAGTTATGAGAGTACTCGTGTAAGTAGTTCGAACTATCGTTCAGAAGAAATGTGCATTCATGGTTATTCCTTCACTTCTGAGTTGATGCTATGGAATTGCTGTCTAGCGTACATTCGGGTAATATTTTATCCGAACATCAGAATCCACAAATCAAGAGAACTAGAGAAGATCAATTCAATATTTATAATATTTGACGTTGTCTCCCCATAGAAATATACCTTAAACAAAGGAGAGTCCAACACGTCGGGCTTTCATCCAAACTCCCTGTACAACAGACAATACAATCGACATGTAACAGGATAAAGCTGCCCGTAAACGGGAGAGAGACCCCGCATGCCTGGAACAGGAGTAAAGATATCGCCGAATGGACAAGAATTTGTGGAAGGGAAAAGGACAAGGGGAGGCAAAAAGAAGCTGGAAATATAGCGGCCTTCCAGGAGTGGAAAAATTTATGGACAGGCATTAATAGGAAGCAGCGCTCGGGACGACTAGCACCAGCCGATCCAGAACATTGGAAAGCCGCAAATATATTCACCGATAAAAAAACAGGCAGTACAAAAATTAACTTCAGAGGTACACCTTTAAGTATCCACCGTAACCTGAGCAGGGCCCAAAGCAGTCTCGCGATTCAGCTAAGAAGCGAGCATATCGGCCTCAATTCTTACCTATACAGAAGAAAGGTACCCGGAGTAGAAAACCCTCGCTGTCAATGTGGATATCCGTCACAGAACGTCAAGCACATGCTATTTGCGTGTCCGCAGTGGGCAAGTGGAAGAGGCGATGTTCTCCGACAGGCTAAAGACAGGTCATTTGAAGCAATGATAAACAGTCCAGAGGATGTCGCTCGAATCACACAGTGGATACTAAGCAAAGGATGGATAAAACAGTTTCGACTTGCGGGGGAAGTGGAGGCAGCAATGTCGGAAAAATGAATCGATCATGAAGGGGAGAGAACGGAGTCCACACTGGCTTAACAGTGTAAAATGCACTTCCTGAAGGTAAACTAGGAAAGTTTGATAGCTATTAAACAGGCAGGATCAGGGGGTTTTCACCAAATTGGTTTCCCCCTTTGTAAATAATGAAGATAGTCACCTGCATGGACCCATAGGGTGCCTGATCGGGTTAAATGAAATCAAATTCAAAATATTTGACGTTGTGCCCGCGCACGACACATGAGTTTTTCACGTACCGGTTAGCGCAGTCTAAATAAAAATACCCGAGGTGTTGGCGCCTACACAGACCCAACAAAGTAAATGAAAGCCAGGATCTCATCATCCTGCGCTCGAAGATTATTGTATCCATGGATGTCGTCTGTCCAACGAATCTCATGCTATACAGTCGGTACTAATTGAAGAAGAAATAAAAAAATTTACAACAAAAATGAGAAGAATAAATTGTACATATCAGTTCGTGATTCCGTTCGAATCAGATTTGTCGTTGTGCTATTTCGAAGAAATTTGTGCCACGCACCCAGCTACTGAATGCATTGACTCCCTCCGCTAAAGTGAGGGCCCAAGATACGCTGGGATTAGAATTCTGTGCCCTGTGTTGCTGAGCCTAATTTTGCCCGAGGTTGCAGTAGAGAAAGTGGTAGGGGGACTTCTCTTCTCCACATGTGCAGGTTAGAATGGCGTTTTCGTGGTGAAAACGTCGGTGGTATTCCGCGAAATCGCCATGGCCGGACTGTGCAGCTAGTAGATATCCTAATGCGCGTCGCCCCAGACGGGCGGGCTCGATGGTGATTTTAGTGTTAGGGCCAATACCTAATTTTTGTATCTAGAGGGTGAATTTTCTGCCCAAATAGAGTGCAGCGGAAGGCTCATATTGAACATTTATTTCATTTCTTGCCCTCGCAATGGAGAGCTCCAAGTTTGGGGCTGGAGCCGCGTATGCAGCATTAGCAAGCGCGTAAACGGCTTCGTTTCCAGTGATGCCTGCGTGGCCTAGGTACTATCGAACAGCTACTTCACTTGATGTCTTATTTAAGCAGCGTGACCTACTTCTCCATATCTCGCGCGATGGCTTTAGACAAGATGACAAAGGCATGTTATGGTAGCTGAAGGTTCCTCATGTTTTTCTTTTGGTGGATATTCACGGTTGAAGAAAGGCTGAGAGTCCGAATCACAAAAGTCTCGAGTGGTATCAGCAAATGCACCCACTACATGAGTAGTCTAAATGTCAAACTGAGTTATTGTTGTATGTAGTGGTCGGGGAAGGACTAGCCTTCTCTGTATCATGCTTTATGACTGCTAGACTTGTGCCCGTCACAAATAAACATCCATTCATTCTGAGCCATTATATATCCAGGAGTACTTGGTCAACATAGCTAGAATTCTCTTGTTGTTATCACTTAATTATGTATAAGTAGTGCTAGTTGTAACATAGTATTGAGCACATGCCTGGCGTGCCTTTGGTGGAAGTAACCCCCTAATCCAGTCCACAAACAAGAGCCCAATAGTAAGAGATTGAGTCAAGCAATAATCAACCATCTTTTTAATGAAATTTAATATATCTTAGAATGCCGAGAATAACTTATCCATCTAGATATATAGGGATCATAACTCATGATTTATGGAGGTTGATAAATACTTGTTGAAAACTTTAGTTGAAAAAATATGCGCACATGTAATCTCACTTTCATCATCTAATTTTACTCAGTACCATACATCTCAATACTACTGTTATCACTCAAATATTCCTTCTAAAATCTCACATAAGACTCACTGTATCGGTCTAGCCGCCAATACTGATTCTGCTCCTACCTCAATCATAGCTCAAGCTCATAACTTCAACATTTTTCACTCAATTTACATATTCAGTCCTGAATAATTCCCTCAACAATTTTTTACCTACCAAATTTGGTGATATCGACTCGTTCATTACTAACTCGTATCCGTTCTAGTGAGACTTCTCTTCTCAGAGTTTCATGATCAATATGCCCTACCGACAAGGCTGTCTAAGCGTATGCACCTTGTGACATCTCGAGGGACAAAAGACAATTGGCGAGTGGTCAAAAGCTGGCGTGGATTCAAATCATAAGGTTCTAAAATAAAAGAAATGTATAGAAAGATACGAATCAGTATATATTTTACGTAGGAATTCATCAACTGTCCAGATGAAGTTATTAACACGAACCCTCCTGTCCCTAATCGTCTGCAACAAAAGAGTTTAGTATGAATAGCGACATTTATGAAGAGCCTTTCGAATCTTGGCTTGTCACATAAAAGAGTTTTGTCTGTTTGGAATTAGTCGTTGGACTTATAGGAGTGACGTTGTACCAGCCTACCGATGATTGAAGACAGACATATTCGTTGCCAATGAAAATTTCGGGGCATCACACCCCTGATACCGTGATATAGAAATTTCCTTGTATCTCTTCAGAGCCTAATTATATTTTACATACAAAGAACAAGACGGTACTGTTACGGCTTGATTTTTGATAACTATTAGTGTCTGGGAAAAAAAAAGCCTTAAATTATCATTGAATTAATTGTTATGTAGACTATAAAATTGCACTTTACCACAATTCTGAGAAACTTATGTCGCCAAAATTAGTTCAAGAAATGTACCTTGAAAAGACTCGGTCATGCGGATAAGTCATAATATATACATTTACCAGTCCTAAAGTTGTAGACAAAGGCATTACTTGAATCTCCGATATTTTGGTCTTTAATTTTAAGTAACATATCATGTACTTCCCCATGATATTTTCTATCTACTGTAGGAACCGTGTGCAACATTGTCCGCCATGTCTCAGGCTCACTTAACTTTGTGGCTTTAATAAGTTCCATAATCTGATCTGTTGTTTCAATCGCTGCAATTGAGCCTTCAAGAATGTCTTTAGTAAGAGATGTAGCAGAAGCCTGTGCCTGTTCAATAATATTTCTGCGATTAACTTTCTTAGACTTAGTCCCGGAAATTAAAACTCGCACGTCTTGCTCTCTTTCTTCTATACCTGTGCCACAGTTCTGCTGTAGCATTTCTCTTTGATTTGCGCCATTTTTTCGATCTCTCTCTCTTATTTCACCTTTAAGGAATGACAGAAGCTGAGCTGGTAGAATATCGACATCAGTGGCATCCTTCCGATCCATCGATTTTACTTTTAATACGGAGTCCTGCTTAATAATTACTATCCAAGAATGATTATCATCTCGATATTTCGAAAGGAGGTCTTCAGGAGAGCGGGAGTCTCGTGCTAGCTCAGCCGATATTGAATTTGACCAAAGATTTTGAAGGAGGCCGATTCCGACTGTTCGCAACACAGTGGCATCATGTGAGGCTACAAGTACATCGCACTAAAAATAAGCGCCCATAACTGTAAAGCCGCACTTTCAAACTTACTCGTTTAATGCCCCATAAGTCTAAATTGCCCTCTCCAGTCTTTCCTAAGCGCCACTTTGTGCTAGTTTTAGATTGTGGGGCTATTTTTTCCCAGGCTAGATTGAAGCCGACTGCATGTTTATTAATATAGTGTCGACTAGTATTATGACAATGATCATAAATAAGAGAGTCATAGCGCCCGCCAGCCCCAAATACATCCTTTACCTTTCGATCAAAGAGACATGAAAATAAAATACCACCCTTGTAGAATTTTTCGTTAAGACTTCCCAAAGGTGTCACATAAATTTTATTTTTTATCTCGAAATATTTGGTGTAGTTGATTACTTCTTTTAGGTGAGCGATTGCTGGTGAAGCTTTTTCATATATATTTGTTCCATCGAAGAGAATCTTGAGCCTATGAAATGCTTTATCCGGTGTGTCTAAATAAATCAAAATTTGCATTTTAAGTTGATGAAAATAAAATACCTCTGAAGTCAAATTGTTTCAAGTCAACAAGACTTGGAGCTGATACCCCAACCAGAGGTGAGCGGAGCTCCGTCTGAATTTTTTGCCATGTCCACGACTGGATGTTAAGTTTACTGAGCGTATTCGCGACAGCGTGGTATATACTTGGTTCTATTCTACAAAACTCGAAAATATGACCAAGCAAGTCTGAATGGTTAATATGAAAGCACATCTGGCTTGAAGCAAGGGATGGAAAACTCCTGATAATCTCATCAAGGACCTTAATTACCTCTGCTTCTTTAAGGGCTAGATCTAACGCCTCTGTAGTCACAATATCGAAATCAACTTCGCCAAAAGCCTGAGGCTTGCCACCAGTACCTTGGTCCCGGAAAACTTGACCAAAGGCAAATGAGCGTTCTATGACTTTTTGATGCTTTGCAATATCTCTTGCGTGGGGTAGTGTTAAGTCGAATGGAAGCTGTAGGATTATGCCTTTATCGTCTAGAAGTTGCACTGCATTCGGTCCATAATAACTTGACCTGGGAAACAAAACATTTCGAGTTGTTTCAACAGCTCCATGTCGACGGAAAATTTCCACAAGCTTCTGCTTAATAAAGCCCCGGAGTAGTAGCATATCACGTGGTATATGATTCATATCTTCCATTTCCCACGCATAATCTTTAGCCCGATCATTTGATAACGAGAACAGAGTCTTCATCATTCTTTGATAATGTGGTGACTTCGCATCACTCAAATTGATAAGTGTCTGCTGAATTATCTCATTTTCCATCTGCAGTGGAATTTTACCACTTCTGAGAAGCTCTAAACTTGAAGGGCGGCTTTCAGAGCTGTGACTTAACAGCGAAGTGATGATATTAGACTGTGTTGACATTTCAGAGACCTTGAATTCACTGGGAAACTCGGGTCGCTCCTTTCGTAAACCTTCGCCAATAGTTGCCCGATCCATCCCAGGAATAAGAGGTCTAAAGCACATCTCAAAAAAAATTATGCCTAAGGAGTACATATCAACTTTGCTGGTGTAAGCAGCTTGAGTACATGACTTCAGTTCAGGGGCAACATAGAACGCGGTACCTATATTTAGGGTCATATCAGAGTTTTGTGGTAAATATTCAGTCGCCTTCTCCGGGGTACTAAAGTAACCAGTCGTTGCAAGTCCGAAATCTCCAATTTTGACATTCGATGCTGCGTCAATAAAAATATTTTCGGGCTTTAGGTCTCGATGTACTATGTTCAGGCTATGAATATGAATAAGGCCTTCAAGAATTTGACGAAATAAGCGCCATAATTCATCTTCATTTTTGTGTAGCCCACGTTTGATTAAATCCCTTAGAGTCTGTTTCTCGCAGTGCTCCATGGATATAAAAAGGACGAACTTCTTTGATCGATGTAGCCGCATGTTAAGTCTACTCCTGGTAAAATCCTGACTTAATTAATACATATCTGTATTGTTGACGAATGATAATTTATCTTAAACCTGAATAGAATTTTCACTACACGAACAGCGTGAAAAATGCCATTATTTCAGGATTTTGAAGGTAACCTACCAGATGAGGCTGAGACCTTCCTAAGTCTAGCTTAGAGTCTGATGACACTGTGGATTCTTCTTCATCATCACCATCGGAAGTATCATCATTACCAAATTCTATCTCCGAATATCGACTCGAGGAAATGAAATCAAGACCAAAAGTGCCGCTGTGAAAATTAGGATCAGGGCCCGTTAAAGCCGATAATTCATTATTATATTCCTCAAAGTTATCGAGCTCTGAATGGGTATGATCCTCATCGTCTTCAAGGTTGTAGGGAACCTCCTCAACCCAAGTATTATAATACCCTGGTAAATATTAAAATATGAAAATAATTCACCCTTAAACATGTGAATTGGTAATAACTTGAACACATGTACTATAACCCCTGGATCCTTGTATCAATGTAAAGTAAATGATACTTGAATTTGACCAAGGATCGAAGAAAGTAAAAAGAAAAAAGAAAATTATGAACATACTAATAACTGATGGGTGACTTAGCTGAGATAGAAGACGAACTTCTTTTAAAACCTGACTAAGAGAAGCTGAAGATTTCTGAGCTATTTTTTTAATAGCATAAATCTGACCGTCAAGTCTTTTCCTTGCTTTGACGACTTGACCAAAGCCTCCCCTACCCAAAACGCCTTCCTCAACAAAGTCTTCTGCATACCTTGACCTATGCACCTGAGTCCCACCAAAAAAATCGTCTCTTACTATCCTTGAACTATTTTTAGGAAATGATTGTGTTGTGTCGAGACGAAGGTTGAGTCGGGGAGATTCATCGTCTAGGATTGGGGCATTCGTAGCTAAGAACTCTGATGCACTCATTTCAACAGCACGAGGGCGCTTTTTAGATTCCGAATTGAATATTCTGAGCAAAAGTTCGGTCAGAGATGCCGATAGTGCCAGTGAATTGATAAGAGCCACAGGCGAGGAATACTGTTGCATAACATTTAAACCAAGAATCATCTGAAGAAATAAGATCCCAAAATCCCATATGTCGGTTTTCTGGGTATAACTGGGAAATTCTACGTTCGATATCTCAGGTGGAATCCAATATGCCGATTTTATCAACGATACAGTCCCAGAAACACGGTTGCTTCCACACAGGGTTTTTAGCTTCCTCTGATATCTGGCGTCCGCAAGCTTTGGTATAACGTCACCATTTAAAGATCTCACAAGCAAAATATTCTCCGGATGTATATCCTCATGTACTATACCTTTTTCATGAAGATATCTGAGTGCTTCAAGTAGGTCGATGATCCATGATCGTGCCTTTTCAGGGCCGATAGAACCAGCAATGTTTAAAAATTCTCCCAACGATCCTTTCTCTGCAAATTCTGTGAGTACGCTCACGGTCCAACTGGACTCTGATCCAAAATTCTCATCTGTAGTTCGCTGGACCTCGAAATCGAGTATTTCTAAAATATTTTGATGACTAAGATTTTTTAGTGCCTTTAAATCGATCTCAAGGTTCTGTAATTGTGTTTTTAATTCATTCTCTCTAGATTCTGCCTTTAACTCTGTTTGCTTGAGCAACAGTGACGCGATATTTCCAGACCTCTTGGCAATGATTGGCCTCACAGTGAAGCATTTTGAATTTGGCCCATTTCTAATACAAACTTTGCTATCTACTGCCTGGAATAGGATTGTGTTTCCATCTGTGTCTTTGATAGGGATTGGGTGCTCAAATGATAGAGTATCACGGTTAATCTGCCTATTTTCATTTATTGTGATAGGTGATTGATCTAGGAGAGATAGAGGTGGACGACTTTTCCGCCTTGTTTCCCTCGCCTTGGCTCTCTGCCGGCAAAGCTCTCCTTGAAGTAAAGATTCCTGTATTTGATCTTGTTGGAGCGCTTCGAATTTTTTCTGCTCTTCTTCTGCCTCTCTAATCTCGTGAGCCAGCTTGATTGCAGCCACTTCATGCGCAGCGCGTTCTTCCTCAAGACTTGGAATTTCTCTTCCGGCAACTTTGACTAGAGCTGTATCCTGAAGTACATCTAGACATGCGTTGACTATCTCCATAATCATAGCCTGCTCTTCTGCTAAGAGTTCCATGGGTTTCTTTTTAATTACTTCCTGGAGCTTATACTTGGTTTCCTCTTCAAGTCCTTCATCATCCTTGAGACTCAATATAGGAGGAGATTTAGGATATGAGGCTATCAAAGTTACACATAATGTTACAGATAAATCAACATCGGTTGACCTGACTCGTATTTCAAAACTTGGATCTGATGTCTGGATTTCATCAGCATGAGTTCACTCGTTGTACAGTGACGTACTTTCCAGGCATTAAGAGTCGAAGATACTCGTTTAAAGTCTTCACCATATATCGATGCAAGAGCTATCAATTCATCTTCTTGGACTTCCTTGTAATAAGATTTTGAGCTCTTTTTGGAGGGATTGAGTTCTGGAAACTCATTCAGAGCTTTTTGCGCTCGAATCCCCGACGGATAGTCCGATGTCATAACGTCTAATTCTACGGGTTTCGTAAGCCCACAGAAATTTTAGACATATTCCAAACGAAGTTAAATCTTCACTCGCATGTTTACAATGATTAACAAAACCATTGTTGATTACGGTAGCGATTATGAGCTTTTCTGCAAAACGAGGCTGAAACCCAACTTGTATCGCTTCATATCAAATCGGCGGATGTCTCCGCCTTAACAAATCTTATAGCTGTATCCGTGCGCCAAGTATCTATGTAAAAGGAATAATGAGCTTCATGACTCGGACAGCAAGCACGACGGCCACATTCGTGCGCGCGGTGCGATCCCGTCAATCGCTATTCCATGGATTTCAACAGTATTCAACATCAACGGAAGGGCTGGTCCCTTCTTGTAAGAAAAAATATGTTCCACTGAACGGTACATATCCAAAAGGATTTTTAATCGCTGGAACATACGTTGGCGTGAAGCCCTCGAATAAAACAGCCCCCGATCTAGCACTATTAGCCTCCGAGACTATTTGCTCAGCAGCAGCGGTCTTCACAAAAAATGTCTTTCAGGCGGCTCCCGTAGTTGTTAGCTGCCAGACTCTCAGGGAAAGAAATAACGATGGTATTCGAGCCGTAGTGGTCAACTCAGGCTGTGCAAATGCGGTAACCGGAATGGGTGGATATGAAGATGCTCAGAAGATGGGTCAAGCTGCCGATCGTTGTTTTGATACGTCAATGGATGAAAGTATGGGGCGTTCGATAGTTATGAGCACCGGCGTCATTGGACAACGGTTCGTTTCTCGAAAAAAGTTAAATTAAAATATTTTACAAGCTGACAAGTACACATAGATTACCAATCGAAAAAATACTAAACGGAATTCCGGCTGCTTACAATGCTCTTGGCTCGTCACATGAACACTGGCTAACTGCTGCTAAAGCTATATGTACAACTGATACCTTCCCTAAACTCATCTCTCGGAGCTTCTCCTTACCCTCTGCTCCAGCTGTGGAGTGTCGAATTGCCGGTATAACAAAAGGAGCCGGAATGATTCATCCAAATATGGCAACTCTTCTCGGAATTATTGCCACAGATGTTGCGATCTCGCCAGGCATGATACAGCCTCTACTCACTACAGCAGTAAACAAGTCGTTCAACAACATTTCAATCGATGGAGATACTTCAACTAATGACACTGTGACTATTCTAGCTAACGGAGCCGCTAACGGCCGTGTCATTGATTCACAATCTTCAAATGACTATAAAGCCTTCCAGAGTATATTAACGGAATTTTCTATAGACCTTGCAAAACTTGTAGTTCGTGATGGCGAGGGAGCGACCAAATTTATCACTATCCGTGTTGTGGAATCGTGTTCGGAAATTACTGCGCGCAAGGTTGCTTGTACGATTGCCAAGTCACCTTTGGTAAAGACCGCCATGTATGGTAATGATGCTAACTGGGGTCGTATCTTGTGTGCGACCGGATATTCACAGATTTCTGAGCCTGGTCAACCAACCAACCATGTCGAAATATTACCTGAGAAGACAAGTGTGTCGTTTATCCCCTCAGATGGATCACCAGAATTAAAACTGCTGGTCAACGGGGAGCCCGAGCCTGTTGACGAAATTCGAGCTTCTGAAATACTTCAGCATGAAGATATTGAAATCTTGGTGAAGCTCGGAAATGGCAAAGAGCAAGCCACTTATTGGACCTGCGACTACAGGTAAGTTATTTATACGTATTGTTCTCTCACTAACAACTTCCTAAGCCACGAATATATCACAATAAATGGGGATTATAGGACATAATCTAGATTAAATCATACAATAACGTGACTAGTGATTCCGGTCGAAATAATAAATTACATGTATATGTTATATCCTCTGACATTCGATTTTTTTGACTCTGGTATAATTGAACGTAGTGTTGACGCGCAGCTCGTGATCCTAGAGACGTGGTAGTCATTAAGTTCTTCGTTAAACTGCTCTACGTTCTAATGTGCCCAAAAATCCCAAAATCTATAAATAGCCCAACCAGCAGTCCGCCACCGCTCATCATTTTCTTCACGAGATCACTCACACTGAAACAAATTTCAAACAAATTTCATCTCTATATCTCCATACCGCTCCAGCTTTCTTCAGATGCTGGCTCCTGGCTCTCCCTCCCCCACAAATTTTGGTGCGTCACGACGTCGAAATGGTCCTCAATGGACCAGATCAAAACCAACCACCACAAAATTACCTTCAGCCAATTGCAAGTCTAATTTGCGAGGTGAGCTATCAAATTTAACCCCAACATCAAACACAATGGCCTGAAATTGTTGCGAGCGACTTCTTCGGCGCACAGGGCTGCATATTTCGGACGCGCTTTGCACTAGAAGAGTATCTCATCATCGGGTTCTGCAGGCTGCTGGAACCAGTCACTGACGAGATGCTTCGAAAACCCTTTCCCCAGGACTTGCCAGCTTTTCAGAGCAATATTATGGAAATCCTGTCGGGCAACCCAACTCAAACAAATTTCACCGTGTCACCACAGTATAGTTGTAGCAAAATCGCTAAACCTCTTCTAGATCGGATTTTAGAACCAAGGCAAAATAAAACCGCGAGTATTTGTTTATAAATCAACGTGCTTGGTAATTGGCACCCTTCGCACTCCTATAGGAGCTTGAAAACGAGTAGAATTGGACTGCATCAGGTTAACAACCATATAACTACACAAGCCTCGTCCTATCTGAATGACATAATCACCTCAGACTTCACCCATATCGATTCCAACCGTCCAGAGAACCATTTTTACACGCCGTAGCACAATTTTTTCCTCAGACTCAGCCTTGAACACCACGTGCCCGAGCCCTTGACACACTCCCAATCTCTAATTCGTACTTTCCGATCAGTTCCAGTCATATCTCATCCCAGCAACTCTTAATCTCATCCAGGAGTTGTTCGCTTATTTTGGGGCCTCACCCAGTAACCCAAGAAGGCCTCTTCAAATTTCCCTCTCTTTTCTTTCTCTATTGTAGCAGTACTTGTTGGAAATTTTGACACTCGAACTTAGGACTCACTCGTTATCAGTTTCGTCTGAGGTTCCAGATAAGATCGACTCTTTCTGCATATATCCCGAGCACGCTAATCGCACCTACTGTCGCATATACTGGTGGAAAATATACTCTATACAGTATTATATGGATAAATATGATGAAGTAAAGAAGACTTGATATTTTACAACTATGGGAACATTGGACTTATACATACATCTTAAGGGAGAAATTCCCACTAGTCTCATGTGCCTGTCAAACCTAGTGATGACCAGCCACCCCTCATCTACCATGATGAGCTATGATACACTGTAGTACGTAAATATCCAAAAGTATATGCAACAGTAGGCGCAGTTAGCGCACTTGGGATATGTGTAGAGAGAGAGTCTATCTTGTCGGGAACCTGAGACGGAAAAGATAACGAGATTCGGCGCAGGGAAATGTCAAATCCTTTGAAACTGAGAAATCGGAAGTCGTTCAATTCCCGGGAAGTCGCCTTAAGAACTCAGTGGGAATTCATATAAACGACACTTTTATAGAGCCAGCTGAGTACATTCAATGGTTAGGAGTCTATCTCGACAAGAGTCTATCTTTTAAAAATCATGTGGAAATTTGGAGTGGGAAAGCACTTAAGGTGGCTCAACTTCTGCGACGAATAAACCCAGTCAATCAGAGGGTAGCCCCAGGACTATTGATGACTGTGGTGGGAGCGTACGTGATTCCAATAGCGACATATGGCGCAGATGTGTGGTGGCCCGGTTTGACATGACTCCAAAGACGGGGTCACGTGACTCACCATACGACGCATCTATGCAAGCTGATTGACAAGGCCTTAATTCTAGCCTTAAGAGCTGCACTTCCGGTGTGGAAGATTATACCCATCGCTGCGCTTCACAGGGAAGGAGGTATTCCACCAGCCCGGATCCTCTCAGAATGCAGCCGCCTAAGACTTTCTGCAGGGTTGCAATCCCTCGATGTTCGTCATCCCCTACGTACTCGTGCAAGGATGTACCAAAATGAGGGAAAAATTAAATACAAGAGGCGGAAAATGCTATCTTCGCGGCCCGATACCCAGATGTCCCGCGTCCAACGGGCTTACTACCAACTATCTGAAGCGGAGGATGCCGAACCACTCCCTGGGCCAGTATATTGGATAAATCCTGGATCAAAGTTGGAAGGAGTGGAGGATTATCAAAAATGGATCAGGATGGTCCCCCCATCTGAGATTTGTGCTTATTCAGATGGGTCCTCAGAAGGTCACGGTCGATCAGCATGGGGCTATGTGCATCAAAGAGGAGGAGTTACCTTCAAGAAGGATCGAGGTTCGCTTCACGGATGCGAAACTTTCGACGCTGAGATTGTCGGGGCAATAGGCGCGCTGCGAGCCGCTATCTTTGCGAGACAAGGGAAGGAAAAGATAACCGTGCTACTCGACAACCATACAGCTGTTAGAGCATTGCAGACTGGAAACTCGTCCTCTACCTGCCGCTTAATTCGCATCTTTCATGATGCTGTGCAAAGATCTAACGCAGAAATCAGATGGGTCCCAGGACACTCAAACATAGAGGGGAACGTGGAGGCTGACAAAGAAGCTCGGGCCGCACTAAAATTACTTCCGGACAGCCAGAAACAACCCAGCTATATCAGTCTTCCTTACCTTCGACGTCTTATGCAAAAGCGACGACAAGAATTGATAGACAAATGATGGTAAACTGCTTGTCCAGCTCGATACCAATACTTGGACCTTGAAATGTTATCGACATTGAACTTGTTGTCGATTTTATATATGTATGTCTGTTATAACAGACATTGGAAATAATTCATGAGATTGCTTAATGAGTGGCTAGATTTGATTCCGATATAATATTGTAGAAGACTTGTCCCAACTATCAGAGGGCTACAACGTCTTTATCTATCTACAGGTAAATTCCCCATATTCCAACCACACTAGCCATACAGGACGTAGCATGTAAAACCTGATTCGTATCATTATTTTGGGGTTGAGGTTTAACGTGCATATGCTACTCGAGTCGCATATCTGACTACTATGCGACACGCTTAGGTATCAATCTAACAACCCACACCAAAACCGAAACTACTCACAACCCTGATGATGACCCCATGAATAATTGTAACAGTAGCCTGCAACATAGCACAATTAGGCTAGACATCGTTGACCAGGACCTAATCCGAACAAAATACGACGACGTAAACCCCCAGAAATTTCGTTGCCACGGAGATTACTACACGAACTCATTGCTGCGAGAATAGGGCATGGGGATTATGCGGCGTATCACCGTCGCTTCAAGCACGAAGATGCAAATCTAGTTTGTAGCTGTGGGCTAGAAAAGACGCCCACCCACTTCACACGTTGTCGGAGATGTAATATTCTGACGCGTAAACTTAGAAGAGATATGAGCTTAGTTGCTTTTACAAGGCAATTCCTCGGACATAAAGGGTTAGAGAAGTTTAAAAATTTAGCATGGGTTACAGGCTGCTTCGGTAGGCTGGACGCATCCTAGTTCTGGGCTGAATGCAAGGACGGGCTTTGTAATAAATGCCAGGGCAAATAGGCTGGCAGAGGAGAGCTCAGGATGAGGATTGCTGACTCAAAACCATTGATTATTTCTTTTCTTTTTCTTCACTACATTATTTGTTCAACGAGCTCATGATTTATTAGCTCTAAAATGGGTGTGAACAAGTAGGGCAAGCCTAGAGGTTAAATCTCGGCCGTGTTACGGTTTGACCGTGGCTTAGCTTAGGCGGAGACCTAAGCGGAGTTTGGAGGCGTATTAGGGAAAGTGTTACCTATTATCTTGTATCAAGCGACTAAGTTTCACTTGGCCACATTACATTAAAGCTAGGAAGGAATGAGAGACGGCGAAGTAGAATTGCCAAGTGACAGAGTTAGCTAGATGGAAAAGATGACGACGGGCAGTGGCGGAGCAAAATGTCATTCTCACCAACAGAGTACGTACTGGATGAGCTAGAAGGATGTACAAATAGTCATTGCCCGTAGTTGTGATACTTCTCTCTTCATATAGTTTAATCTTTCTAAAAGTACACTACAACAAGCTTGGTTTCGTCACAGGCCGGCTCCACCGGTCCTACATCTAAATAAATTGAAGGCTACGGCCTAGGAATTAAATCGAAATAAATAAATAAATGAAACAGATAACGAGTGAGTCCTAAATTCGAGTGTCAGAATTTCCAACATACACTTTTGGATATCTACGTACTGCAGTATACCTTGGCTCATCAGGGTAGATGAGAGGTGTCATTACTAAGTTTTACAGGCACAGAGCCCGCGCACGCAAATATCGTCTTAATCTACCATCTTCAACTTACCACTGTAATTCCAACCATCCTCACCCATGCCTCCTCAGTCCTCTGCAGAGGCTGGCTCTTTGCCCCCTGTTATGGCCAGGCATCCTTGAAGAAGATTCAAGGAGAAAGTTCTCAGGAAAAGGTTCAATGAGAAGACATCCGGGAAAATTCCGACAATTAGAGTTGGAGGGGCTAACCATGACATAATCTTTCAAAGCCTCACCTAAATCTAGCACGTAGCTAGTTATACTTCAGGAAGCTGATGTTACTCTAAAGTAGTTCAGCTTCTCAATCTGATATCCTAACAGTCTCTAGAATCCTACTACTCGTCTCGACCTCTCGATCTCTCGATCTTCAGTCCTAACCTCTTGCGCCTCGCCCGTTCACTTTAACACCCCTAACCTTACCCGTCTATATCGTCTGGTACTTACTCGCCTAGTCATTACTAGGATATCTTCAGCAGACGGCAAATCCCACTTCGTTCACCACACGCCCTAACATCCCCTCCCAACAGTAAATTCGACACCTGACGTCGAAATGGCTCTCACGGGGCCTCCGAACAATCTAAGGAATACACATCAAACTGCAGAGCCGACCTGCGCGGCGAACTGCCAAGGCTTTACCCCAAACCCCACAGAGTCATTGGGGGTCACAATGACTAACTTTCTCGCAGATGAAGCAATGGCTTTCAACCTATTCTTCGCAGAGGTAGAGCGCATCGTCAATGGATACCTCAAACTCTTGTCAGACACAACTGACCATCAGCTTCGACGAGTTGCAGAAGACAATACAGTGGCCTTACAGGCCATGATAACAGAAATTCTGCGCAGATAACCCAGCCAGCCCCAATACGGTGGGTCATCAGAGGCTGCCAGCGGCAGCAAAACTGCACTCATCCCCGCGCTAGCTCCCCAATCGGAAGTAAAAACCGAAGCGAGAATTCCACGGCCATTGCAGATTCTCGCGAGAAAAGCATCAGCCACGCAAAAGAGAAAGAGCCGGCTTTGAAAACGCCCAACAGGCCAAACTAAGGCGATGACCTTCTATGCTTAAAAACTACTGAGAGATCCTGGACTCAGGTAGTAAGGAAAAAGGCTAAGCCCGCAAACTTAGCGGCTACAATACCGCTACCAGCTAATGGATTCTATCCAAAAGCAACGGGGCCTACACGAACGCCAAGGCCAAATGCCTCAGCTTCAAATCTAGTTCGACCAGAAGAATGCTTTTTCCTGTGGCTAGAACCAGATCATCCATGGAGACGCATGTCCCCTCATTATATCAAAATCAGCCTCGCAAGCAAGCTACGCCTGGCTAATTCTGCAATCAAGCAGGTGACCGTCGTCAAACCAGGGTTTGCGATACAAGCTGAAGGAGATGGAGCTAGAAGCGCGCTCCTCTCGGGCGCCATACTCCTGGAGAGTACGTAAATGAAACTTGAAGCAGCTTCCAACTAGATCTCAGTACTGGCTCAGAATAAACCAGACAGACTCTACACACTGGAAGGGCCAATACCAGTAATACCATAAATGGTTATAGAAGAAGCGGCTCTAAAAACAGGCGTTATACCAACTTCGGCTGGAGCCTTCGCGTCCAGTAAGGCCAGGCCATCAATTGACTGGGTTCTGCACTTTGCAAGCGGGAAACCAAAGCTAGGCGAACGACTGTTCGAAGAAAGCAGTCGACTCCATGAACTACAATGTAGGCCAAAAATAGCTCAGTTTATTTGTTTTCTATTTTTAGTCTGTCGGGGCGCCAAGCTTGGATTAGGTCCCTACTATTGAAAGGCTATGCTGAGCTGGAATGACGTACCGTTAGGATGAAGGTATGGAAGGAGGTAGCTATGGCTTTAAGAGAAGTAAAGTTCGTGAGTTGTGCTCTTAGGACTTGGATCAATGGACGAACTTGAGGATATTCCCTAGTATTCTCAAGTGTGTGAATAATATGGAGATTGTTTGAATTTCCTATTGTATGAGTTGTTTAAGTTATCTACGTGACAGGACCTTCTTCTATATACATGAATAAGGGGGTTCTGCACACTAGTGGATGTTCCAACATATGTCCTTGTCTAACCGAGAAAGGAAGGGTGTGAGTGATCCTAGCGCCAATAGATACCATTAGGAATCTATTGGGAAATACTATGTTATACAAATGAGTGATGATCTAGGTCAATCATATCCCATGGCACATGTGCACATTACTCTAATGTGAACAGTTTATTGTAATGCAGTCATGTTACTCCCTTAATTACAACACCTACTACCCACTAAACTAACTAGAGGCATGGACGCTAGTGCTTACTGTCCTGGTGGCTTCGCCCTTGCTACTTCCCAACTGGGTTTGCAGGGCAATTCTCTAATTACATGATTGTGTATAGTATAGCACCTACACCTTTACCGCTAATCTCCGAGGCTCTTCACTCTTTTGACATATTACAATCACTCTCGGGATGCTACTAATAGATCCATTCAGAAATACCGCACCATCCACCCATAATGCAAGGCTCAAAGTTAAGGCAGAGTGTGACAGAAACCGAGTTGGTAATGAATAAATCGATTTATTAAACTATATGAAGAGGAAAGAAATCTCTAGCTACTACTAACAGGTACTTATAACGTTTGGTCCGCTTCGTGAATCTGCTGACTGATAACTTCCCCCTAGGCCTAATACTTGCTACTGAGCCAAGTATTATCAGGAGCCATTATGCTATGATGTTGCTTCGACCTCCAGGCTAGTAGTGCTATTTCATCTCTATTTGCCCATCCTTCCTCTTTCAGTCTTATCGTAATTATTCCTAATTAAATGCTTAGGTTTCCTCCTAAGCTAAAACAACGGTCAAACCGTAACACAGAGTTTAAGACCTATTTATTTCTTCTCTGTAATGGCTGGTGAACCAACAGTAAATCCTGTAGCCTGCATTGGCAAATGCAGGCACCCTTTCCACCCGCTGGGATGTCAGGTAATGGAAAACTCACTCTATGGCTCGGACTACTAGCAAACACTCGGACAGTTGCAGGGAGGATTGCCTCGAGCACGGGGAGTGACATAATTAGAGGACTGTGCAGTGGACCGTGCGCCGGAACATCTATTGAGAAAGTTAACAGCACTTGGATGAGCTCAGAGAGGATTGTTTTGGGCACCTCAAAACTGATTGAAAGGTAGCCGATGTCACGGCACGGCATTCTGCTGCGCCATGATATACAATTACGTGGAGGGAGGATGTGAGACTGATGGCTGATGCAGGAAGGAGCACGGACGCGGCGATTTAGTGGAAACCCGCCCGAATAGGAATAGCCTCAGGGCTTTTTGTAATGAGATCCTGTTCTTTTCTATTCTTCTCCAGCTTAGTATTTGCTTCACAGATTGAATTATCGCCATACAAGCTGTACTTTCACTTGTGCCTATTCTACGCCGTGACATAATACTAAGCTCCCTAAACTACTCAACGCGACCTCTGTAGAGAGGTAAAATACTAATTTCAGACTCAGTAATCTGTGGACAGCGTTTCGCTCACGATTATCTGGACAGTCATTGGCTAATTGTCTCGCTAATAAAGGAAAGCAGAAGATGCCAGGAGAGTGGCCGAAGGAAGACTTCACAACCTCGGTGTACGCCACCCGCGCACCCGGGGAAGAGGAGGACCTCACTACGAAGATTGATGTTCCATGGTATCAGAAAGTCACTTTTGAATTGTTGGACAAGGATTACAACAAGAGAAACAAACGCCGCGCTGCTGAAGTCAAGAAGGAGACTGATCAAGAACGTCACGAACATACCCTTAAGACTATGTGTACCGCCCTGGCTGATCGCGCCAACAACATCAGCAACTACCTTCGAGATACATTGGAGCAGAAGGCAGAGGCAGAGAAAATGGCACAATCCTGGGCGGAGGAAGCTGAGCGCTGGAAGGCTGCATTCGCAGAGGTCACTCTAGATCTCAAGGCCAAGGATAAGGGTAAGCAGAAGGAGGAATCCAAGTCGGTGCGAGGATCTGCAGCCTATAACACTGTTGAGAAAGACGCTGCCGGCTGTGAGGCCTCAGAGATACCACCAAGATACAAAGAGGTCCGTGACCCACAGGCTAAGCAACTCCGCCACCGCCAGAAGATTGAGAACCCACCCACCTTCATGGGTTCCCATAATCCTACTTTCGAGAACTGGGAACACGCTGTTAAGCGCAAGTTGAACAGCGACTCGATCTACTTTGATGATGAAAACCACAAGATCAATTACCTCTTGGGCTTTATTGGTGGTGATGCACAGGAATTCATAAAACCCTACCTCGAGCCAGAAAGCGTCAACCACATCACTGTTGCGATGTCTATCGTCGAAGTTATGCGAGGAGCCTACGGCAAGACCCGAGGACAGAAGCGCTCCGAAGCTCGTGCCAACTTCAAGAAACTCCGACAAGGGGATGACAGCTTCTCAGCCTTCTTCACTAAGTTCCTGACCTTCGCTTCTCAATTGCAACTTAGAGACGAAGACCGCATGGATGAACTTCGCGAAAAGATGAGTCCCAAGTTGCAAAATGTCATAGCCGGATTGGATTTTGAATCTACCTTGGAGATGTCTCAACACTGCTTGAAAATAGAACCACACCTGCAATTAGCGCGCAAATCGGAGGATCAAGCCGCTCGCTACCAACAACGCAAGGACAGGTACAAGAAGCCAATTCTCCCGCCGGGCCTAACTCGTACTGCACCTCCAAGAGCGTCTGGTCCACCCAAGCCAAAAGTCTTGGCCCGAAACGCTGGTGTCTGCTTCCATTGCCACAAGACTGGTCACTACGCTAACGCGTGTCCTACTGCTAAAGTCAATGAGGTGGATGCGAAGAAGAAGGAGGAAGCTGAAGCATCTGGATCGGAATTCACAATGAGCTCCGATGAGGGAAAAGATTGTCTCTAGGAGAAGTCGCCTTCCTAGAGAATAACACGTATCGAGTAAATGGCATTGATTTGGAAAATTTGTTTGGCGGAAGGCCATTAGTTATAGATTGTACTCTTGAAACTAAAAACAATTCCCAATTTCCAATCTCTGCCCTCATTGATACCGGCGCTAATGGATATGCCTTCGCAGATCGTAAACAACTGCGTGATTGGTACCGAAATAGTAAGATTAAGATGACGCGCTACAATCTCCGTCATCCACTCTCTATCAGAGGCTTCGACGGCGGATCATCCCGACCTCTACGCCATGCCTACGTGATGACACTGACTATAGACTCGCACCGAGTCAACATGCCGTTCTTTGCTACCACACTTGGTAACAAGAACAATGTGATCCTCGGTCGGCAGTGGCTGGCCTATCATAACGTACTCCCAGATTGCGTGCGACACCGGCTGTGGTGGCCAGAAGACCGCAATGATCATCAGTGGGACGCTAACCGTCGTGACCGACTGATTGAACTGCCCCCTCTAGAAATCAACAAACCTCCTGCTAAAAGATCTCCACATTTTATGCCAAAGCAGATATTGAAACGCCCTGCAATGGTAGCAGAAGCGCCGGCGACCCCTTCAATTATTCTGACTCCCCGGCCTACACTGCAGGAGCGACAAGAAGCCTACAATAAGAAAAAGGAGGATCTGGGTCTAGACGAAATGGACACACCTACGCTTTCAGCCGTCGAGGTTGAGACAATTGAAGCGGAAGACCAATGCTAGTTCGTAGAAATGGAAACTGCTTGCGACGGTACAGAGATTGCGCACATTGCGGAGCTCGCTGAAGAAGAAGAGAAGACACAATTGTTGGCCCAATTACCTCCTGAATATCACGATCTTGCCCATGTCTTCTCCAAAAGACGCGCAAAGGAATTGCCGCCGCATAGGGAGTTCGACCATAAGATCAATCTGGATAGCGAGCCTGAGCTCAAGCAAGCTCCCCTCTATAAAATGAATCAGAAAGAGCTAGATACCGTACATGCTTACATCGAGGAGAACCTGGCGAACGGGTTCATCGAACCCAGCGATTCTCCGTTCAATTCCCCGGTCTTGTTTGTCAAGAAAAAGAATGGAGACCTTCGATTTTGTGTAGACTACCGGAAATTAAACGCACACACGCGGAAAGATCGCTATCCTCTGCCCCTCATTGGTGAGACATTAGCCAAGATGGCTGGTTCTAAGAAATTCACCATTCTAGATGTCATCCATGCGTTCAACCGTATCCGGATGCATCCAGACTCCGTGGGATGGACTACGTTTCGTACTCGATTCGGTCAATACCGTTACCGCGTGTTACCTTTTGGTCTGTCAGGTGGCCCGGCCACTTTCCAAAGATATATCAATTCGGTCCTAGGCGATCTGCTCGCTCGTTACGTTTCCGCATATATGGATGATGTATGCGTCCACTCTGAAGATAAAAGTAAACACGTGGCAGAAGTACGCGAGGTCCTTCAGCGTTTGGACAGGGCTGGACTGCAGGTGGATATTAAGAAGTGCCGCTTTAATCAAAAATCTGTTAATTTTCTGGGCTTCATTGTTAACACTTCCGGACTCCTGCCAGACCCGAAGAAGCTGGAAAGTATTCGCGCATGGGAGAGACCTACTAGCAAGACTGCCATTCAATCCTTCTTGGGGTTCTGCAACTATTACCGTAACTTTATAGAGAATTTCTCCCGGATCGCTAAGCCACTGTACAACCTGACAGCAATCCCAAAAGGCCAGTTGTTCCAATGGACCGAGCAAGCTGAAGAAGCGTTCCTTGCCCTGAAAGAGAAATTGGTCAGCCCACCCATTTTACTGTACTTCGATCAGAAGAAGCCTACACGTATAGAGACCGATTGTTCTGATCTAGCAACAGGAGGAGTACTCAGTCAATTGCAGGAGGAAGGCGTGTGGCATCCTGTGGCTTTTCACTCCCGAACCTTGACTGGTCCGGAGGCAAACTATGAGATCCATGATAAGGAGCTGTTGGCTATCATCCAATGCTTGAAAGAATGGCGCGCAGAGCTCACCAGCACCTGGGAGCCGTTCGTGATTCTGACTGATCACCGAGTTCTGGAATACTTTGGTCAGAAGCAGCTACTCAACGATAGGCAAATCCGATGGTCAGAGGTGCTATCGCAATTCAGTTTCGACCTTCAGTACCGACCAGGCAAGGAAAATATTCTGGCAGACGCGTTATCTCGCAAGAAAGAACTTACCCCTACACAAAAAGCTGCAAAAGAACTGGAACGTACGAAAATCCTCCTCCCTCAAAAGAAAGTTACGTTGCCACATGACAGCAAGGTGTTAGCGCCCATCGACGAGGATCTGGATACTATTGATCGTATTTTTATGGCCAACCGAGCAGATCCCGATCTCGAGGATCTACGCCAGCAAGCACGACAGCGGGAAGAACCTTATTCTTTGGAACCTACCGGGTTGGTGCTT